GACGCGGGCTGCGCGAGCCGTTCGAGGGACCACACGGCACTTGGCGCCTGCGCCCTAGGCCCAAAACCCAGTTGCTCTTGCGGGGCCCGGAGGCCTCGGGCTGTGGCCGCAAAGCAAGGAAAAGCCCGCTTGCTCCGCCCGGGCGCAGAACCCCCAGGTGCAGGCATTGAACAGGGTTGAGAGGCGGAGGAGAGGGACTCGTCGGCCGCTTCTCCTCCACGCTCTGGTTCATCGCGGCCGACCCCCCACCTTCCCGGTTCCCGCAACAACGGATGAAAGAAACTCCTGCGCATGTTGCTAGGCGGGCTGGGGGAGGCTCCGCTCGTGACTCGTAAGCCTGCACGGCGTCGGGAGACGCAACTTTCCCCCTCGGGAGGGACTTTTTTTCTCTTGCTGCGGGGCGGGGGGCAACCTTCTGGGGAAACTCCGGGGGGGCGGTATCAAAGAAAAGCAATGAAGTTTTAAGGCAAGGGAGTGGGAGGAGGGCCACATGCAGCCTCCCCCCCCCCCTTTTGTGCGAGCGTCTGTATGATGCAGAAAGAGTTTGCAGCAGCAGGAATATAAGAACGGCATGGAAATAAGAGAGTATAACAGCGAGTACAATAGAGCGAGAACCTGGGCAAGGGTCGCCCGTCAACTTGCAAAGAGCTGGCACGTTAAGACCATGAAGTTGTTTGGCTTCTTAAATGGCCGAGGTACAGACTCTAACCCCTGCCATTCTTGCTTGCATTATTATTAACTCCATTGATTGCATCCACTTCAATTTCCTATAAGGCTTCTTGGCCCCCCAATGGTGGTAAAGCCTTTCGAACTTTCTCTCCCCCTCCTTCAAATAAATTCAGCTTTTAAGGTGCTGTTGGTAGCTTGCTTTGAAATTGTTCTGCAATCCACCAACAATCTGCAAGCATATTTCCTCATATTGACCAAGCCCCTATTGAACACAGGCACAGGACCATACCGAACTTACTCAGAGTTTTGTACATTTATATTTGCTTTAAAACTGTGAGGGGAAATATAGTGCATTTTGAAGCACTGAGATTCTCTCTCTCTCTGCATTTACTTATTGAAAGTACCAACTTCAATTTCAGTCTCATAAATATCAATTAAGGAGTATACCTGTCCTGGTAGCACTATTCTTCAGGTCCCAAACTTTTCACGTATAACATTTTATAGCAATATGGACATTTTCTATCTATAAATTCTCCCTTTTAAGAAATGTATTTTGCTAAACTTCTTTGACTCTCGCCATCTCTTTCCATGATTCTGTTACCCTTTACGAGTCCCTTCTCTTATCCTATATTCTGAGAATTTGGACATGAAGATAAAGGTATTTGGGGATGGGGTGGGGGGGGTGGAGAAAAAAAATAAGTACAGACTTTAGTTCACTTTTAAATCTTACCACCCAGAAGGTGAAAATAAAGTACAGGAGGAGTACATTTGAATATCCACTGCTGTGGGAAAAAATTAAAATGAGATAAACATAAGGGATATAGGGTGAAAGTATATTATAATGCTTTACCTGGACATGGTAATCTCAGCTTGAGGGCTCTGGGATTTCTCCAGCCCCAGTTTGGTGAAGATACCCACCAGTACCATGATGGCCACCACACCACAGATAATGTATACAATCATGTTGGTCTTGTCCCTGGTAGGATTCTGAGGAGTCTCGTCCACTCGAGGTGGTGGTTGGCCTGTGTTGACCCATTCTGGTGTCTCATAATTTGAACAACCACTTTGATCAAGTCTTCCACTTGTGAACTGGCAGCAGAAGCGGTAACCACAGGTCCCACAGCAAAATTTGTAGATCCCTGAATTGCAGTTAAATGGAGGATCCCACTGGCCCATCACATCATAATAACCAAGGCACCGATCTCCCCCAGGGATGGACTCTGTGGGGGCTACAATTGTGTCCTCTAAAATGGGACCCAATGTGGTATTGCCTTTGACCTCTACCTGCACTTCTGACTCACGTTTCTGAGGATTAAGTGTTCCGGTCCAAACCTGTCCTGGGTCCATCAGAACTAGGCAATAGAATCCAAAAATGCACCGTTCCATCTGTATGCCACTCCAGCTCACCATTCAAACTGCTTTCTCTTTCCAAGACTAACTTCCACAATGGAGAAAACCTTGTTTTGTTTAGAAATGCAAGAAAGAGGATGTTTTTAAAAATCCCAGTCAAAAACTAGCAAACAGAAAGATAATATATTTCTTTGTAAGCCACTTCTAGTGGAGAAGAGATAGGTCCACCCCTCGTTTTTTCTCCAAAGCAAACGGCACAATCAAAACAAATCTTCTAGTCAAGAAAAAAAAAAAAGTAGGATGGGTGGGAGTGTGGTTGGAAGTTGAAAAAAAAAGCAGGGGATGAGAGTAGGAGAAGAAATCAATATAATGTGTAGTACCGTCAGAAGATAGCCTCACAATTTCTTGCACAATCCCAAAAGGTGGAAGATACGCAGTCCTCCTCCTCCTCTTCTTTCAGTAGCAAATATTGGGCTTCTAATTTCGTTTGAAAAGCTGCACTGAAAACCCTCATGGACTATATTCTCATCTTGACTCGAACCAAATTCTGAAAGCAGCCCTTCCCTTTCTTCTTCCTTCTGTCCCCTTTCTCAGAGACACTGTGCTTTCTGGAAGGGAAAAAATCCTTTGCACCACTGAGAAGGGAGGGATTATCAGAAGAGAAAGAAAGAAAAAAAAGGAGGGGTGGAGGGGAAGAGAAGGAGAGAGAGTATAGGAGGAATGAAAACAGTTCTTACTCCTTTTTGAAGTCAGACCTACTATTGCCTGACCATTTCCAAAGCAGCCCAGAGAAGAGTCTTCTCCAGGTTAGCATCGTCCATGCAGAATCCTGGCTAAGAGCCAGAGGCTGTTCCCATCAGGCCAGGTTGGATGCAAGAGGATGGCAACAGTGACTGTGCCCAGTGGTGCTAGTGCAGAAGGGTGAAGAGCCAGTGAACTGCTGGCCAGTTTCTCCTCTGCCTGCCTCTTCCAGGTGGTGTACTAGGTAGAGGAGAAACTGGCCAGCAGTTCACCAGATTAGTCCTTCACAGGCGCAGTTATTTTATGAAAGGGACAATAGCTGTGCTTAAGAAAGAACTCTGTCTGGCAGCATGACTATTGCTCTGTCATGTTTGAGGACAGGATTGTAAAAACACTTTTTTAAAAATCTTTTGTCCCCCATTTGTAGATTGACTGTTGCTAAAGTAAAAGCCAGGTTTTGGATCCTCCTTTTAGGGCTACTCTTAGAAGTATGGATATGTATGTGTATATGAGTAAGGAGACAGAAGAAATAATAGGCACTTGCCTATACAGACTTCCCTTCTGCCCAGAGACTTTGTTGTATCTACAGTATAGCTTTTGGGCTAACTACAAAGGGAAGAGCAGAGCTGCTATGCAGTATCATAACAACCAAAGAAATAGTTTCTTCCAATTTCTTCCTTGACTTTATTATATGAATGTAATATATAGATAGGCCACTTTCCTAGCATTTGGAGCAGTATAAAAGCAGGTATTAAAGCCACAGGAGAATCATATAGGTTGCCAAATAATAACCTTGCAATGCATTTTGAGAACATTCCCCAGTCTATTTCTGGATAATAGTTGCAATGAAAAAGGGGTGCCTGATCCTTATTCTTATTTTCTCTCTGCAGAATATTGTTTCCAGGATATATATCAGAAAAAAAATCCCAAGCCAAATGTAAGTTTTAAAAAATGAGTAGAATTTTCTATTCGGTTTTTATTCTAGCAAGGCTCAAATAGAATTTTAAAATGGAAGCTTTGTTAGAATAGTGGCCAGAATAGTCAGAATAGATGGAAGGATAACTTCAATCTAGGGAAAATGCATAAATTAAACATTTATCCACTTAATATATATAATTTTTATTGAAAAAGAAGTTTGTATAGGATTAAAAACAGAAACATAAAAAGAAAATTAGAAAAGAGAAAAAGATACGAAAAGATAAAAGAAAAGGTCAAAGAAAGAGAAAGAAAAAAAAAAATTAAAGAAGCGACTTCCGATCTTCTTTGTAGCAGTTACAAATGTGGTTATTACCATTTCCACTCTCCCAAATTACATACCATGGTTCCCTTCTTCCCATAAACAAGCCTTTTTAATTGGTAAATCCCAAAATCACCAATTCATTTTTGTCCATTTTCAGCAAAAAGACTATAAAGAGTTTGCAGTCTTTTATAAAAGTAGTTATTGTTCCTTCCTAATCAAACAGGTCAATTTAGCCATTTCAGCAAGTTCTACCATCTTCATATTCCACCCCTCCATTGTGGGTATTTCTGTATTTTTCCATCTTTGTCCATATAGTAGCCTTGTTGCAGTTACTGTATATAAAACTAATCGTCCATGAGTCTTTTCTTAAGTCCTTAAGTTCTAGTAAAAAAAGCTCTGGTTTCAACTGAATATTAAGTTTTAAAATTCTCTGCATCATCATATATATTTGTATCCAGTATTTATTTGCTTTTTCGCAAGTCCACCTAGCATGGTTAAAATGTCCCTTCATGTTTTCGTTGTCACAAGATACTGAGGACAGGAGTGCAAAGCCACCAGGAATGAAATTTAGTTCCACTCCTGGCCTTGTCATTCCAAGAGGTCCTTTAGCTAGTACTATAATAAGCAGCAAAAAATAATTCTCTTTTTTCTTCCATGGGGGACTTAATTGCAAAAGTGCCCTGTAAAATAGCCTGTCTCTTTGGGGGGGGTGTGAGATTTTAACAGCTATAGGTAAAAGACCAGCTTTAGTAATACTATCCTTCAAGACACCACATCTTCTTAATTGTAACAGTCATTATTTAATGCCATCCTGATGAGATAAAATGGAAATAACTGTCTGCTAATGAAGTATTCAACTTACAGTAACCTGTGATGAAATAACTGAGTGACCAAAGCATGTTGAAAGATGCTTTTAGGTGACTCATACTAGGCTGTAAAAAATCTACAAGAAATGGATGTTCCAACAGTCCATTGCCCATGCAACCAGCTCACACAGCATAAATGGTCCAGCAGTCAGTCACTGGAAATAAGGCAGCCAGTTGCATAAGAGTCCCATAAATCTAAGGCTGCAGCAGTTTTCCTTTCTCCAGCTTCTGATTTTTACATCAGGGATGAATAAGAAGTCATTTGGAATTTCACATTAGACCTCTGGATAATTTTCAGTTTTTCCCCCCAAATCATTTAACAACAATACTAACAAAATAACTCTTTTCCACCTGCCCACTGAAAAGTTGAAATGAAGGAAGACCCGTGAGCTCTATTGCTTTCTAGTATTGAAAACAATTCTGGCCTAAGGATGACTTAATTGTGTACTTTTGCACCAAGGTCAATTGATGGATGTCAGGGTTCAAAAAAAAAAAAAAATGCTGGAAATCTGAAATATATCCATCCCATTTGAAACAATCAAACGAGCTCTTTTGAACCATTTCTTCCTCAAGAGCAACCATCCTCACAGCGAGTTAGCTGGCACTGTAGCCTTCCCTAGATGGAACACTCTAGGGCCATTGGGTTATTAGAGTACTTCAGTTGCTGTAACAAAAGGAAATGTATGGGAGTAAGCAAAGATAGTGAGCTCTTGGATTTGTCTTTTTCTTGAATTGTATTTAAAAACTTAGATTTAAATTATTTTTTTTCTAATGCAAGATGGAGGAAGGGGGTGCAGGCAGGTCTTTTGAAGCATGGCTGGCTGGGGAATTCTGGCAGTTGAAGTCCGCACATCTTAAACTTGCCAAGTTTGAGAAACACTGCTATAGACAATGTTAGCGATGAAGAGACAGCAGGCCCTGAAAAGACTGGGGACTCCAGCAAACTTTCTGGAGTTGGCCAAAGAGTTAGGGACTAAGCATACTGTAGTAGGATTGCCAAATAATAATTGGATTTATTACATCAAATACATTAATGATTAATCTAACATAGGCTTCAACCAGGTATAGGCAGTGAGCTCTCCCTAATTTCCACTCAGATGAGTCTCTTTTGCTAAAGGCTCTTCATCTGGGAGTCAGCCTCTAAGCAATAATACCAATATGCTACCTTGCTTTGAATTTAATTGTTGATATCTAATTGTCTCTCCATGGAATATAGATATCTTATTATCTTGTCTTGATGCTTTTGAGCATTCTATGCGGTTGGGAATCTGCAGAAGGGAAAAGGGGACAAATTAAGAAATGTATGTGATGGTGTCATCATGCAGATGTTGTGACATGTACTTGCATGAGATGCAAGGGCATAATTGAAGCATTTACATGGTGACATTTAGCTTCATTGTAATCTGCCGTATGTGCCATTATGCACGCAATCATGTAAGAAACCTTATGTGAACATGCAAACAGATGGTGAGCCAGATGATAATTTGATAATTATGTTTTAAAGCAACTTTCTCTCAACCTGAAAATACTTCCTATCTGCAAGAGAAGAAGGAAAAACTCTTCCACAGGCATATCAACCCAGTGCTAATTTTTCTGTCAAAAGCACTAAAACACTTTTGAGAATATTAACAGCCCTCTTAGCTCAGAAACTTTGAATAATACAGAGCAAAAGAATCCAGTGTGAGCCAGTTCAAAGAAGAAAGGCAGAGCTTCACCCAGAGCTCCAGGGAGCAAAGGAAGGCATAATGCACCAGGTGGATTATGGCTAATGAATAGGCAAGGAAATCTTGAAATGAGACCTGGTCTCTCTGCTCCCATCCTCAAAGCCAGCTCTATTCATGTCATTTCTTGCATCCTTGCTAAAGTCCAGTGGGGCTGTAAAAGATGGGCTTAGCAGCTGACTAGTGGTTCAATGACCCATTAGTTTTGTTAGCTTCCTTCTTTCCACTGTCAGTACCTGCAGGCTGTATAGAAGAACAAGCCTCCCATCCTGCACTTCGCTGTGCAATACTACACTACAGGGGCACATTTCTTTCTGATTCCAGCTGGTAATCAGTTTATACCCTGAAGCGTGGGGATTAATAGCTCTTGTTTCATTACTTTCTGCTGACCTAACACTCCCCAGCCGGTTTCACATAGACGATACCATCCTTTCTTCCTGTTTCTTAGGAAAGCGGTTAGGTTGTGTTGATGGTGCAGTGCAGAAAGCTAGCTGATGAATATTCGCATGAATCTAG